GCTGATAAATAAGAAAATGACAAACGTAATGGAGAATTATAGAAGTCATCAACATTGTTTCATATTCTCTTGGCATGGAGTCTCTTTAAAATATTTTTATTATTAGAAGTGTTTATTATATACGTACGAGATCACAAAACGTTAATTCTTCTGGTGCACAAAACCAACCACCGTTGATGCGACGATCCTCCCCTGTCTTTAAAAAAAAAACCCACTTTACCCGGCAGATCGGTTTTCAAATCGTCCATAAATCGTTCATAAATAATGAATCCGGCTGCGGGTTGCACCGCGCAACGTCAGTCAGGCACGCTGATTGCAGCATTGAGGACACGTGTCGCGGATCAATCGTCAGACGCGTGTCAGTATTTTCGTATCATCGCCGAAGGGTGCTTACAAACTTATATATACATCTCTTTTTTCTCTTTTTCCCTGTCTACCCACCTTTTATCCCGTCAATTCCCTTCCTCTTCTCTTCACATTCGACTACTTCCTTCTTCTTTTATGTCGTCGCCCCTGCCTCGAGTTTGCACGCAAAGCCAAACGAGTGTCGCCGGGAAAGCCAAACGACGTGCAGGATCGAGTTCTTTTTTAAAGCGACCAGACGAGCTTTAATGCGACCGGGATTATGCGACTGGACCGAAGCTCCAGGATTTTACTTGAGATCGTCGCGAGTAAGGGGCGTGCAAACAGAGGTCTAGAGAACGTCCCTTGGCTCGTCACGTCGGTCGCTTGTCAGCTATTGGGATTTACCGCTTTTTAATTAAAAAGATTGGCGGAGCTTAGATAGACGGTAGCGATCGTGGATATATAACCACGCCAAGTGAAAGTGAGTAAAGTAAAGTGTAGCGTGAAAATCTTCTTATGATAAAATTTCTAAACTACGCAACTTAATATATACAGGCTAACCGCATTTATTTTCTAACGACAGATTAAAACTCAGTTAAAACTTTAGCGAAAATATCAAAGGTCTATTCCTCGCAATTTTTCGATTTTTTAATATTCTCTCGTAGCTATACTTAAAAATTCAATTCAATTATATAAAACAGATTCCATTTAAAATTAACTGATGAAGTGAGTGAGAACTAATTTATGTGACTCATCAAAATTTACTTCGCGAAGAGTGAGAGAAATTTTTTTTCCATTCGCTTGTAATTCGAAGATTATCGGCATACTTTTCAGCAAGAAAAAATTAACTGCAGAATGTTAAAAAATAATGCACATTGCACTGTGCGTAAATCTCTGTAAGAATTCAGACTTTTCTCTTCTTCTACATTACAACTGTGTTTCCCGACTGTGTTTTGCGCACGCTGTGCGCAAAACTACTTTTCAAAGCGATACATCAACAAATGAAATTCTCTCTACGCGGTGCAGCAACGTCATAACTTCTTCGCGAAGGAAATTATCGCGACGTGCCGCGAGAGAGATGAGCGAAGAACGCAACGGCGGCTGATACCTTCCAGGAAGAAGTTAGGTGCGCTGAAGCCTTGAAAGTTAGACGGAGTAAGAGAGAGAAAGGAAGAAAGGTGGACGATGAGTGAAAGACGACGGGCAACCCCGGCTCTAACGCGGATAATACTTTGTAAGTGGCGGTTCGTGGCCCCAGGGGCTGGCAATCTTCATAGAGCATCGTCTTCGAGACGTTTTAGGCTCTGCTCGATTAGATGCTCGTTCCGCTTCGCCAGGCTAATTTGTCTTCGAGGACGCTACGTCAGCCACGCTCAAGTTTAGTTACAGCTGGCT